CATAGCGTAAAGGTGTCACGCAGGCATATGTAAGGAAACTGACTACTACTGATGAGGCTGAAATGCCGATCCAGCTGTCCAGCACTTTAGAAGTGCCTTGACTGGCCTCATGAAGAGTCAAAACATGTTATCGGATTATATTGTTTTTTAGGAGATAGCAATAGCCGACAGAAGGATTTTGGTTTCATAGGCTTTAATCAATGCCAGTTAACGGTGAGGCGTGACGGATCCTCGAAAAAATGTCAGTACCGGCGAGAAGTTGGAGGAGATTAGCAAAACGCCGTGTTCCTCGTCACTTCTTTATGTTGTGCCGTGTTTAGCTATTCGAAAACATTGCAGAGTAGCCGGGTTAGTTCACAGGCACCGTGATTCCAACTCTCTATAGATATATGTCAATTTCTGTTTATGTCCCGGCGTGGAAGGTTCTCTAAAAGCATGGTGCAGTGTTCTGAGATTTTCGCAAATATTGTGAGTAACGATGAGAAAACTGACAAGACGTCTAGTTCCACAGCACTTTCTGGAGTAAACTCATTCCTTGTTCATGACGCGGTGTACCGATTTCTTCAAAAATATCCTAGTACTTGCGAAAAGAACAGGATTTGGAAAGTGCGTTGATTCACGGAAGTTTCTAGAGTTGTGTCAATGCCTTTTGCGCTGCGGTGTGCTGGGCTCCTTGAAAATATTGCAGTACCGACGACAACAGCAGGATAGTTTGAAGACTGTCGTGTTTCACGACTACTCAGGGAGATAGGGCATTTCTCTTTATGGTCCTATGCGACTCGTCCTTTGAAGATGATTGAAGTATTGGCAAGAGAAGAGAAAATGAATTATAAAGCCCGTGTTCCACAGCTACCCTAAGAGAAGTCAAATTCTGTACATGGTGTGGTGTCACAAGTTCTTCGAAAATTGTAATGCAAATGGAAAGAGTGGAGAAGTTAACACCAGTGCTGAGTTCAACAGCATTTCATGAAATTAGGTCTATGCTGGGTTATGATGAGGCGTAACATAGGTTCTTTTAAGATATTGTAGTACCAGTGAAAAGAGCTCTTTATGGAGCCAGATAAATGCTCGTTTATGGTTCGCCGTACCTTGTTCTTCAAAACATTGTAGTACTGGTAAGGATAGCGATGTAGTTCGAAGATTGCCTTGTCTAGAGACACATTGCGGACTGAGATTAAGGTGTTTTTATGGTGCGGTGCGCTGGGTTCTCCGAAAACATTGTAATAAGCTGTAGAAAAAGTTCTGTCATGTTTTCAAAATGAATGGAAAAAATTTATTTGTACACCGATTGCGCTCAAACAAAAGACAAATTAATGGTCGAATCAGGCGTGTAGGTCAATCTGCTTCCTTCTTCACAGAATGTCTTCATTTAACGCAGAGCTGTACGAAAATCGCAAATTAAGTAACCATAACGCCTTCTAAGTTCTTTCTCGAAGAGTTTCATTCTGAAGGGCGTGTAAACACATAATATGTCGTTCGATGCGCAAAAAAAATGTGCATTCTGATAAATTAAAATTTGTACAAAACACATGTGTAGACATCGCTCTCGCAGGAAATGCGACAGAAAATTTTTCACAACCTATTAGTACCTGCGAGAGCGAGAAATTTATCAAGGTGTAGTGTTCCACAGCACTCGTAAAGCAAGGTCAATGCTTGTCTATGGTGCAACGTGCCAGGCTCTTCAAAAACATCAAAGCAATCCCAGTAAGAGCTGAAATGTGAGCAAAGTGCGGTGTTTGCCAGCACATCAAAGACTTCTCTTAATACTGGCGGCGCGCCGGGCTCTTCAAGAACATTGTAGTATCAGCGAGAAGAGAAGGTCACTTTTAGACTAGCATTTTCATGTATGATCAGAGAAGTAGGTTAGTAGCTATTTATGGTACGGCGTACCATGTTCTTCGAAAACATTGCACTACAAGATAAAGTTGACAAATTGCTGTGTTCCACGGCACTTGTGAAATTAGGTCAATGCTTGTTTATTGTGCGGAGTGCCAAGTTCTCAGAAAACATTGTAGCATCGGCGAGAGCTTTATGATGTTAGATGAATGCCTGTTAATGGAGCGGCGTGATGGGTTCTGCGAAAACGGCGTAATATCGGCGAGAAGAGCGGTTATTTTAGAATTTGCCGCCTTTCAAGGACGTTCAAAGAAACGAGATGTTTTCAATTTATCCGCGTACGGGGCTTATCGAAAATATTGTAGTACAGATGAGAACAGCGAGTTAATTTACAAGCTGCCGCGTTTCACGGCTACTCGAGGAGTTAGGTCAATGTATGTTTATGGTGCAGTATGCAGAGCTCTCCGAAGACACTGTAGTGCCGGCGAGAGTAGCCACAAAGTTTACCGTGTTCCACGGCACTTGTGGGAATAGGTCAATGCCCGCTGATGGTGCGGTGTGCCAGGATCTATGGAAACTTTGGAGTGCCGGAGAAGAGAGCGGAGTTTTTTTACAGACTGTTTTGTTTCACTGCACGTATAAAGTTTGGTTAAATTTTTTAACTCCCGAGGACCTAACTTGTTGGAAGGCAAAAGCTCTGAGGACCCGCCTGGTCTGCATATAAAATCTCAGATAGTGGCGCAGTTCACTTCAGTGAAATGGATCGCGCTTTCCATCGCTGTCTACGTCACCAAGGATTTATTACTAGGGATTGATTTAGTTAAACTAACAGCTTCATCTAGAAAGCATACTAATTCACTACTAAAATGACTGGATATTTAATGAATTTTAGTAATTTATCACTACACTTATGAAATTACGAGCACATATTGGCATTGGGGCTAGTTAACTGGACTTAAATCGCCAAATATGATTCGAAATTCAACAAATTGAATATACAGCATAGAGTAGTTCAATAATAGTACGAAACATAGACATTCATCAAGCATCCATTTTTCTCACCAAAACAAGGAGTTTTAGAAAAGGAGTATCGGCGCTATTTCTACTATCGACAGCTTTATAATCCAGTGAAAAAATAATATGTGTTTAGATTGATGTTAGTTCAACGAAATCAATAGTTCGTATTGAATCCTTAGTGACGTAGAGCGCGGTAGAAAATGTGCTCCATGAAACTGGAGTATCCTGTATAGCTGTCGAAGTTTAGTGACGCAGACTAAATAAGTCTTTTAAGCCTTTGCCTTCCAAGGAGTTGAGTCTTCAGAAATCAGAGGATTAATACTTCCTGATGTGTGGTGTGCCAAGTTCCTCGAAGACATTGTAATGCCAGAGATAAGGACGGGATAGTTTGCACATTGTCATTTCCACGACACTCCATTGTTTTATAATGCTATTAGAGCAACATGCCATATGGACTGCTATAAGGCTCAAATAATAATTACGGGATATGTTGAAATTTGAGCATGGTCGTAAGAAAACATTCAAAACGAAAGGTACTCCAATGTTTTGAAAATGCATGTGCCGGCTTCTCTAAAGATGGTAATATAGTCGATAACAGCGAGCTAATTTACAGACTGCCGTGTTTCATGGCTATCCAGTCAATCTATGTTTATGATGTGGCGTAACGGGCTTTCTGAAAACACTGTAGTAGAGGCGAGAAGGCTAGGATAATTTGCATTCGCAATATTGTGGAGTGCTGTGCAAAAACATTTGCGTCAGCCAGCATTCGAACCCAGATCTCACTCTTTCCGTGGGCGTGTGCTAACCGTTGATCACCGACGCTCGTTTTGCACAGCACTCCACATTATTGGGTATACTGTAACATCATGCCACCGTAAGTGGCGGTCAAATAAAAAAATTCTGACCAATTTGCATTCTGCTTTTTTCACGACGCTTTGTAGCGTTCAATCATTGCTTGTTTAATACGCGGCGCGCCGAGTCGAAAATTGTAGCACCAGCGAGAAGTGCATGCATGTTTACCAATTGCTCTGTTTCACAGCTCACTGTAGAGTTCTGTTAATATTTATTAAAGGTGCCAGTTCCGGGTCCTTTCAAAACATTGTGATATCGGCAAAAACAGTGAACTTAAAACCCACTGCCGTGTTACATGGCTCTGCAGAGAGCTAAGTGAATTTATGTTTAACATGCGGCGTGCAGTGTGCTTCAAACATACCTTAATATTGGAGCCAAAAAATTTTCCATGTTCCTCGTCACATAGAAAGTCCGGTTGATATTTGTTTACGGGCGGAGTGCCGGTTTCTTTGTTACATTGTAGTACCAAAGAGGAGGACTAGGAAGATGGTATAGCGCCTGTTGCAAGGCAATTCATGGACCTAGGTCCATATTCGTTGACTGAGTGGCGTGACGGGTTCTCCAAAAATACTGGAGTACCGGCAAGAAGTGTGGGATAATTTGTACATTGCCCTTTTGACAACACTTCATAGAGTTCGGTCATTGCTTATTTATGGTACGGCGTGTTGGGTTCTCCAGAAACATTGTAGTACCGAGGAAAACACTCTACGGATTGTTCTGTTTCACGGCACATTATATTACTCTGTCAATGCTTGTAGTGCAGCGTGCCAGGTTCTTGGAAAACCTAGTAGAATCGGTGAGAAGAGAGGAACGTTGATAAAGTGCCGTGTTTCACGGCTATCTAGAGAGATAGGCCACACTATGTCTGATGCGGAGCGGCAGGTTTACTGAAGATATTGTAGTATTAACAAAACGAGCGTGAAGAGTGAAAACCACTGCAGTGTGTAGAGTTGAGTTGGTGCTTGTTTGTGATGCGACGTACTGGGTTCTTCAAAAATGTTGTACTGGCGAGAGGATAGTTTGCAGATTGCTCTGTTCCATGGGTGCTCTATGAAATTACATCAGCGCTTAGTTGTGATGCAGCGTGCTGCATTCTTTGAAGATATTGTAGTCACCGGCTGGAGTAGCGGCTAATAATTGCAGATTTCCATGTTCTATGGTTATGTAGAGAATTTCTCCTTGCGCTTGTTTATTGTGCGGCGTACCGAGTTCGCGGAATGCGGCGGAGCAATGGCGCGAGACGAACGGGGATAGTTCATAAATTTCCAATAATTTAGAGTTATGTGCAAAACATTTGCGTCAGGCGGGATTTGAACCCGCGTTTCACTCAATCTGAGGCGCAGGTTCTATCCCTTGCACCATCGACGCCCAGTCTGCCACCACTTTTTATACGTTTCAATGCATTTATCTGTCACCAACCCACTGTCAACCGTATGGTATGGGTAATCGCTTTCGAAATATAGCCGATTTTCGTGGTGCTATGATGTTATCGTATACCCAATAATGTAGAGCGTAGGAGTGGTGGCAAAACAGGCGTCGATGATGCAAGGAATAGAGCACGCGTCCCAGGATTACGTATTGCAGGCTCCACGTCCCGCCTGACGCAAATGTTTTGCACATCATACTTCATCATTGAGTATGTTGTACATGATACCAGCGCAATAAGCGATTGAATAGAAGTAAAGCGGTGTCCCATTTCCCTTTGGAGACGCCGGTCAATTCATGTGTGTAGAGCGGTATGAAGGGGCCGTCGAGTAGCGCTGGAACAGTTCATAGCTCTAGTAGTGCTGACATCGTTTTGGTAGCGAGCTCATTCATTCTGCGTTCATGTCTTAAGTCCTTCTGGGCAAGTCTTTTTTCTCTCTTTCTCTCAAGTTCTAGTAATCATCCGACTGCTCAACTCTTGGCCTTTATAATACTTTATTGAGAATTCAAAAACGCAATTTAGTGCGCTGTAGCATCAATGAAACAAATACGTTTACCTTTGGCTCGCTTTTTCCCTCAATGCATCTTTGATAGTGTTTTACCAAGATTTCAGTACTCAATCAATAGTTCAAAAAACGCCGAGTTTGATAGTTTGTTTGACTTTTATGATGGTTCTTTAGAGCGCTGTTGGTGAGAAAGGAATGTTACGACTGGCATTCGGTGAAGTTATAAGCGTGAAGAGGGAAATGGAGTTTGGGAAAACAAGAAAGTTGAGAGAATCTCTCTCGAATAGCGCTTTGTGCAGAGTTTTTTATATGCCGCTTCAAGACGGCGTGATTTATGTTATTTGTGTGGAAATAATTTCTCTGCTGTAAAAAGATTTCTTTCTTGAGTCTGTAGAAGAGACATTGTTATGTAGGTCAATAAATACTTCTCTCCTATTTTCGATCGATGCTGCCAAATAAAGTAAAATAATCCCATTATGAAGTTCACGGAATATCTAATTAATGGGTGTATCAGACTTAATCTTCTTTTTCTTTTTACAGCGTTCTATGAGGATCTTTTGAAATCTAAACACAGTTTTAGAAATCACAAGATTTGTACTTCTAAATGGCCACCAAAGTTTGCATTGCCTCTTTTCAAGCTGTCGAACAGCTTCTGGACATTTTAAGAAAGCTCTACCTAGCAAAAAAGGTTTTAAATCTTTCGTGTGTCCGAGCTTGCACCCTCCTTATCAAATAAGTTATTATATAAGGTGAATTAGAAGGGCAGTTGACACAATGATGATGATGCCTTTCTTCGCGAGTATTAATCTGAAGCGATTTCACAACAGACTTACTATATTTTTCATCTTTCTTCGGTCCACAAATTTGCACCCTTTTCTCTTTTGTTCCACGAGTCCACGAGATATAGGCCTTCCTTCCTCTGAGACCTGCTCCCGACAGAAGATAACACATTCTTAAGGAGAGTCGTCTCGACCATGGTTCAAGTCTTTGATAAGGATGAGGGAAGTCCGCCACCGGCCATCAAACTCATTTTTTGATCAGAATACCTCACAAACTTTGGATACGAGAAAAGATATTGAATGCGAGGAATGCTGGTAGCAGGGAACTTCTTGAAATCATGTGAAAAGATATGACGTTTATTTTAGGAGAGAAATTTGCAGCAGCGGGGCAGATAAACTGTATAGGAACCACAGTGTCTCCTTATTGACAAAATTCTGCTAATTCAATAGATTTGTTGCACAAAAAGTAAGCTTCTCGAGAAAAGAAAGTGACGTTCTATAAGCTCTGCAAATTTTGAAGAATCATTCATTGGGATTAAAAGAATCAGTTCTTTTCTTAGGCGGTTCAAATGAAAAATCGATCTCACTCGCTGGAGAAGAACTCTTCTCTTTAGAATGTTAGCAGCCATTTGAGAGCTTAGATTTATGGCTACAGCCCCACATCGCTGGTATTTCAGAGCGCCCCTTTATAATATTGTAACATATTCGAAAATTAAATCATGTTTCATAAAATCACGTGTTCTCCTTTTACCTCGCTTATATTTCGCTGAACAAAACTTCTTCTTCAGAGCACCAGTACTCAGACTATAACACAAGCTTCAAGAAAACAAAGATGTGTTTGCTTTTCAAAAAGATCTTTTGATCTTCTGATCGCCGCTGGTCTCTAATTTGTTAAACCTTGTGGGGCAGAGCTCTTTATTTAGGTTATGAGTAACCATCTAAAGGGTGTTTTCTGATTCCACCGCTGTGTAACAATTCCCAGGATCAACTGTCTTTTAACTTCGGCATGATTTAATATAATTCCTGCTTTCTTCTCTAAGTCAAACACGAGGTGTTACACTACATATACAATTAATTTTTTTTCTGATTCCAGCGAAGTGCTCATTCGCTGGAAATAAAGTATAGCAGGGAAAATAAGATCGAGTTCTACATTTTTGGCAATGTTGCTTAACATGCTATCCGACAAGGCGAAGGCCGTGGCAGGGGCATGGCAGGGGCGGGGCGAGGAGGGGCGATCGGTATATTGATATTTAACTGGGAGTTTCTCCTTCATTTTGAAGGAACTGAAATAAAATGATTCACTATTATACTACGAATATTTCTCTATACATTGACATGCCTTTCGGCTACTAGCGAGTTATACGCGTGATAACAATAAGGGCAAAAGGCAAGTGTGAAACATAATATGTGATCTGGATGCTACCACGTTATAAAAAGGCTGCTTTGGCAAATCGGCGAAGTGGGACGGTAGCCTCCAGTCTCAGCTTTCGAATGGATAGTAACACTAGTATGCAAAGCTCCTCTACAGCGGATGAGATAGGTTTTTCATTTGTTCCCTCCTAATCAAGATCTATGAATTTTATTTTATTGCCTGCTTGCCAACTCCAATTCTCTTAGTGATCGATAAAGTTCACTATGAAGGACTACGCGTTCGAGAACGCTGTTCAAAATTTTAGAACTAATTTGGCCCTAATATTAAGCATGAATTGTGCAAGTTACAAGCTGTTTAGCGCAGTAATTTGCAACGCGATCCATCAGGAAGCAAGGTAATGAGTAAGCCGTCTGCTCGATCTCCACCCAACACTCTCCACTCTCCACTCTCTTACAATCAATCGACGAAAGTCTAGCGGAACGCCTTGCAGAACGCCTTAACTCGGATGCCTCCAAGAATGCAGGAAGACAAGATGCAACTTCAGAACACGTAGAATATTTGGACACGCTCGTGGAGGACGAATAAGAAAAAACGAATAGAATGAGAAAGTGGTGGAATCCGCGCAGCAAATTGTGATGACAGTCGTGAAAAAAGAGAAAAGAAGTACATAAAGGTCAAGGGATCGCCATGAAGTCACGAAAGCTGCTCGGTTGCCAAAAATTACAGCTGCAAAAAAATTAGGAAGAGTGAGCGTCTGTGAGATTGTCTAGTGTGGTTGACTTCACTATCCTTCTAAACGAGGCGTTTTAATTCAAGAGAATGGCAATCTCGGAAAACACGTAATCTCTGACTCGACCCTAATGCGGGCTCACGAAGCTTCCCTTTCGATCTCATCGACTGTTCTTAAACCTCGTAATAACAATTCAGTATGACCTTTGAGAATGTTTCAAATCTCACCGAGTTTCATTACATCAGAACCTTACGTAGGTTTCGCCTGTGTCGCCATTTTCATTAGTGGTCCATGCCCCAACAACGTCTCTCCATCCCTCTTGTGAAGTAGGGCTCAATATGAGACCTGTACCACTGATAAAGCGGGCTACACCACCGAAATGTACGTTAATGAAATAACCTTGGCAAGGCTTTGAACATTCGCGCGGGCTTTCCTTTCTGTTGGCAATTTACTCCAAAGTTGGGAGGAATTAAGTTCTCTTTAGTCCACAAAACCCTAGAGTTATTTATAGTGAGCACTTGTTGTTATTTTAGGAAGACTGGAATCCCAACATTTCAGTGAGGCTGTAGTCTATGAAGATTTAGTGACATGCAAAAGGCATTTCCTGATAATAGTTAAATCCATGCACGCATTAAATATTTTCGTGAATGACGTGGAGAGGTATTGAAGAATACAACAGAAAAATGCTGGAAACCGGCGCAATCATGAATATGAATGTAGAAAGACGGTAAGTATCCGTAGAACTCGAGACTTAGAGCAGACTTTGAGCTTGAGAATGTCCTCTGCCTAGACTCATCTGCTGGTTAAAGCATGATTGGGAGGAAGTCAAAGCCATAATTACGGCCGGCGTTGTAGGTAGCAGCCAAACTTTGTACCACGCGATCTTCTAGAATCCCTGATATTTGATTCGTTTCACCGTATCCATCACCAGTAAAAGTCCTCGAAAGCTCTGAGATGACCTTATCAGGCGGATTGATTAAGTGAACAAATGTAAAATAGACATGATGATATTTTCTAACCTTGAAAAGGTGTGGGGCTTGGATTTGAAAGCTTGGATAAAATTGAATCAGCAATATGCCCTTCATGAATGGCATTGCTACAACTGCGTTATCGTCACCAATTACCTAATGGCTATAAGACAATATTTGTACGAGATCACAAGAATGCTACCAAGACATGAGGGGAACTCAGACTCTTAAACAAGCTTTGAACCCGCGATTAACTTCTTCTGAGGCTCCCGTATTGGCGACTACACTGCCGAGGGCACTTGCATATTCTTCTCTCAACCATGTTTCAACCTTATTTATGCTATCAGCAGTCATCCGTCGATATAGCACCATGAAAATTTGATGGACAAATAACAAAGATTAGAACCGTGTAAATTTGAATGTGCCTTCTGCTTGACTGGCTTCAGTGCCGACCTGTGCTCTTCAGATCATCTTCGTTCACGGTCGGTGAGGGAATTCGCGGCTTTGATGTCCGTCTAAGGTTTCGTGTTCTGCTCATATCTCAGCATCTTTAGCACATCGAATTATGATAGAAAAAAATAGGTACTA